GTCACTTTCAGAAAAGACAGAGGAAGACCCACCAGAAAGTTTTGGTGGATTTGGGGTCCCAAGCTTGGTAGTATCTTTGAGTGGTAGTTCTACCATCATGATGCTCTCCAGCTTGTCTGGAGATTATAAACCATTGACTGCTGACAGAGGTGTCCCATCAGCCTAGCTGAGCCAAGTGATCTTGATAGTAGTACTGAAATAATGCAAATATCAATATATTTACCGTGTATAGATAGGTATTGCTGGAATTGTTGAGTTATTTAGTTTTTCTATTCCAAAGCATATTTAAAGATAGGAAAAGATATAGCATTTTCAGTCAACTTTTGAAATTCTAGGTTTGAACTTCTGAAGCCTTGTCTCATATGACTTCTATGCTCATGAAAGTATTTAGTGATGGAACTGAGATTGCCATGTTGATGTCTCCTGTTTGGGCCCTCAGCCAGGTTACTGCTGCCTGAAGAAAAGGCTCTGTTGTTTCTTAAATTGGGAGACTGGCTGTTTCAAAACAAACAAACAGACAGACAAACTAACAAACAAAGAGGCAAAGGAGTTCTATTGTGGTTTAGAATGATTCAACAAGAATTATTATTCGTTGTTATTTGGGTAGTCTGTGTAAAGAGTGCCAAGACCACAGATCCAAAGCACGGATAATTTATTACTCTCAGGAACTCTTTCTGAGTCTAATAAAGCATGAAGGCTATTTAAATAAAATTTCAATGTTACAGTGGGCTCCAACGCCTGCCACAAAGCAGCAAGAGCCGTGCAATGAAGGCACACCTTTCATTCTCTCTTAATTTGTACAGAAATGTTCGATTTCCCTCGCGAGTCTTATAGAAACCAAGGAGGATGTCTCTTTGTGAGAGATTTATAAACGTGTCCTTGAAGACTGAGCAAAGCGGGACATGTTCTGCTGAGGAGCTGGCAGTTTTTCTAATCTTTACTACATTCAACCATTGTCCTTCTTGTGTTGTTTCATCTGAATGTGACTCCATCATACTCTCTCCCCTAAAACCTTGCAGTTCATTATACCAGAGTAAATATTGAGCATTTAGAAAGCAATTTTAGTACCTTCTTGCCTGAATAAAGACGTGTATGGCTGTTGACTTCAGAGAAAAATGAAAGTATTTGTTTGTGCTGTGACCTTAGAGACTTTACTTAGTCATGCAATGAGGCTTTATTCTGTGAGAAGTGGTGGGGTTTTACTGGCAATCCGGAGAGCTTTTAGCAAAACATTAGTGATTAAAGTACTAGAAACTATTTTAAACGTAAAAGCCAACAGAAACTTGCATTCACTTGGTCAAAGCAATTTGATAAAATGTATTCAAATGAGCTCTTCTTAACAAGCCACAGAGCCTGCCAAATTGCATTTTGAAAGACAAATGAGCACACCTTTGCCGATAAGACCCTGTGTGGCTATCTGAGATGAGCTGTTGCTGATTGTGTTTGACTGCTTGGTGGGAGCCTTGGAGAAGGAAAGGTTTGCTGCAGTGCTGTGGCTGAATGAAAGAAAAGGGGAGCAGGCAACAAATAAATTACGTACGCACTTCTTAAATAATTAGTGAATATTTCTTACACTGCTCCTTGGTAGTTGAGACGAGTCTCACGCTTCAGGAAAATAAAGAAGTGTGTGAAGTTCCAGGTTCTTGCTGATGCCTTTTGTTTAGGAGCTTGTGGGATAAATCTTCCACTGGCAGTAGAAGCAGGGGAGATAGGTGCTCCGAGCCCTGACACGGGGCAAGGCGAAGAGGAGGAGAAGGAGTCACTGACTCAGCTCTGTGTGTGATCTGGTGCTAAACTCAAAGGGTTCTTTTTTTGGGGGGGGAGGGTTGGTTTAGGGGTTTTTTTTAATATTATTTTTAATCACTGACAGATAACAGCTTATGAAGCCAGCCTTGCAGTCAAGCTTTCTTAGTTGTAGGACCCACAATACCAGCTATAAAGGTTTTAAGTTGAAGCATGAATATGACTTCTGTATTTGTGGTGGTGATCTCCTGCGTGAACGATACAGGCTTTTGAACTATTCTGACAGCTGGTACTGGAGTAGAAAAATGAAAATGTTGCTTTTTTTTTTCTGCAAACGTGACCACTAGACGACACTTTGCTAGTCTGCAGCTTTCAAACCATTCAGGCTTGGAGATGGGGCAACAACTTCCCTATAGGAATGAGGTGTGTGAAACATTTCAGTGCTTTCAAACTGGAGTTTACAGGGTGATACGTTTGCTGTAAGAATGGACCAGAAACAGGGATGAAAGTGCAAATTTTCCATCCAGATTCTCCAGCCGTTACCAGTATTGGTTACTGTAACTGTTCTCTGTGTTGAAAAATGAAGTCTAATGAGTTACTGGTATTGCGTTTCTGGTGAGTGGGGTGTAAAATCACAGTTGTGTGGATGCGGTGTGCCATCATCTGAACTTCTGCTGGTGCTGTTAGATCACAGCCTGTTAGAAACCATATTTCACTAGGTGCTTAAAGATGTCAAGGAATCGACACTACACCGCTCAGTGGTCACTGGTCAGTGTGGTCTCCAGGTCATCGCTATCAGTCATCTGCCCCAAACCTGCATTACCTGAGCGTACACTTGCCTGTGCCTGCTGTGCATTTTCTGTGCTTGTGGCCTTCTTAATGTTTGTTTGTAGTATTGAGTGAAAAATTTAATCATAATGAAATGGCATTTTTGTAATGAACTACTCTTTTCTCCAAATTTTAAGATGTTTTTGGCTAATTGAAACTCCCAGATGAGAAGGGATTATATTTAAATTTTCTTATTCCTTTCACCATTGAGTAGGAAATCAAAAGCAATTGCATGAACAAATCTGAAAAAAGCAAAACTAGGAATAATCTGGATAAAGCAAACCAAACATTTTCACAAGTAAAATAAATGAATGCTTTAAAATTATTTCTTTTTATTATTTGAAAACTTCAGTGAAAGTTGTTTCACGATTTTCTACCCTATTTGCAAAATCTTGTCACTGTTCTTCTATAAATTCAGTTTCGTTTGATGCAGATGTACTACACATAGTCACAAGTGACATTTAAAGAATTTGGCACTACTTTTCAAAGAATAAGACACAAATGCCTGGTAACACCTATATTCCAGTGCCTCTTCCTTATGTGATCAGGGTGATTATTTGCTGATGACAGGAAATCTGATGCTTTTGCCAGATCTGATGGTTGCTCCAGTTTAGATGATTCTCTGAAATTTTCCATTCCTGGTTCAAACCAGCTGAATCTATAAAACTGATCTCAGCTCTTGCCTTGCTTGTAGGACTGTAGGGCCCTTCTGGTCACTGCAGCTGATTTAACTCTGAGTCCCGCTGCTGACTGTGCAAATTTTATGTGTTTCAGAGAAAAATGCAAGAAATTATGTAGTGATTGGTTGTAGGGTATTTTTTTTAGTTAATAATTGGCCTATAGGCCATTTCTACTATTAAGATCTATCCTCAAAAAAAAAAAATAAAAGAAAAAAGAGAGATTTTTGGGTTATACCTGAGGTAAACTTTCTGTGTGGCAATTTTGAAAACGAAGCACCTCAAAAACATCCAAACTGTAACTGGAAGTTCATTAGAAACTATCTTCTTTTGTAGTGGTTTTCTGCTCATGATGCACTGAATTTTTAAAATAATTGCTCCTCTGTGAAGAATTAAAGCTATTCCAATTACTCAGTTACTGGTGAAAAGACTGCACTTCTGAAGGAAAAAAACCAAAACCCAATATAAGTGTTGTGAAATTCAAAAGTGATGAAAGCCCATGACAGCTTACGAGACATGCCTGATAAGAATTTGCAGCTATAACTGTAGTTGTCAGAAATTTATTTGTGATAAATACCCGTCAGCTACAAGCATCAGAGACATATTTTGGTGAGTTTCTTTAAGGTCTCCATTGCTTTAACCCGAGAAACCCGACGGGGCTGGTAGACTCAGTCTGGTCTGCAGTTTCTCGGTTCTTGTGCTGGATGGCAGCCAGTGCATTAGCGCTGGACCCGCTCCCGCCTGTGCCTGGAATTACTCCCCGGGAGGCGGCACGGCCCCCACCGGGCAGCGCTGCTGAGAGGCAGAGTGCTTGAGTCAACTCAGGCCATCTGTTGGCTCCATGAATTAGTTTTCCCGATTTGCCCATCTCACCATAAGGTGTCCACATCCCCCTCTCACCCCCCCTGTCCCTTGTCCCCCTTCAGTAATGTGTTTTTTCTTTATCCAGTTCTAGTAGGACAGAGACAAGCAAATGGATTTCTTGTTACTTTTTTCTTCTTTACTTCTTCTGATTGCATGCATTTCATGGTAGTGGCCTTGTTTAACAAAGCAAGTTATCTCCTTTACATACATGTTCTGCTGTGGAAACAGTTAATGGCTTCTCACCCGGGGTGACCTTTATTCGTAGTAAAGCAGAAATACAATTATAGTTCCTTTCCCCTCTTCCCCCATCTTTTTTCCACTTTCATTATTTTCCCCATTTCCCCCTTTTTTTTTTCTTTCCTCTCCTTTTCTTATTTGTTTTCTTTCTCTTCTTTCCTCATGAATACTAACACTATAGTGTCATAATATGAATAAATGGATAAGGGACTAAATTGATTACATTAGCATAACTTAAATGATTTACGTCCAACAGTTTGTTTGTTGTTCAGCATTCAAGGCAGAATTAAATTCAGCAATAACTATTTGATTTCAACGTGGGTCATTTTAAAGGATCTCCATTTTATTTTTTGCTCAGGACTCTGATCTGGGAATCAGATTCCTTGAGCATTTAGCAGTTGAATGGCCCATCACTAGAAACAGTCAGTTTTGAAGATTTATTAAATGATTTTTAGTGACACCTTCTGCCTCTCAGATAAAAAGGTGAAGTATTTCTTTCACAAGGCATGTCTGGGTTTCCCTAGCAATAGTGTTTTTGAAGCTCTCCAGTAAGAACAGAGGACATCTTGATGCCTGTTCTGTCAAGTCACTTTGCTTTTTTTTGAACGTCTGTTGCCTTTTTTGATCTGTTTCCATTTTTTCCTCTTGCAGATTTATTTGAAAAACAGAGATTTGTATACTGTAGAAGCCAACAACCCTCGTCAGCTAGTGGAAATTGCAGCCAGAGACATTGAAAAACTTCTGAGTAACAGGTCTAAAGCCTTGGTGGTGAGTATTAATGGATTAGGTTTTCTATTTAACATCTAAAAAAAGTATTTATTATTGAAACATGCTTTTATTGTTATTTTTGCTGCCTATGCAGTTACGGGCAGTGTCAGCCTGATGTGTGCAGGGCATGACATGTAGCTAGATGGCTCGTGACTTCACGATAGAAAATGAACTCCTTAGTTCGTTGGCATAGGGCAGATGCTTAGAGTATTGACGGACAGATTAGGAATCACGGCCAAGTAACAAATGAAGTTATAAATAGATTGGAAAATATTCCTCTGACGCACATGAATGTTTACGACTTGAAGATCACTGTGCGCCACAGTCAGCAGTGATCTTGGGGAAACAAGAAGCAGAGCTTTTTTCAAATATGATTTAAAAATAATGGTATCTTTGAAGACAAGATGTTCATTTTGGTATTATTGCTAACTACATCTGTTGATTTTTTTTCTCCATCTTTTCAGTTACTCAGTCTTTCTTGATGGTAGCAACTAATTCTCCTTGAACAAATGTAGCCGTGTGTGAATCAGATTCATTTCCATACTTATTCTATTCCTGACTTGCTAATTTAATCTGTATTTCAGTCTTGTTTCGTATCAGCAAAGTTAATCCTGAACTATTATTGTGAAGGCCATGCTGCATTGTAACCTCACGATTCTGTATGCTTTAAATGAGAAGTAGCTATTTCTTTAAAGTGCTATTGCCAGCAGTCCCTTGCTCTTCTTTCCTGTAAGACAGCAGCCTGGGGTAATTGCTTCTTAGAATTCCTACTCACATCACTCTGACCCATATGAAAGCTTAGAGTGCTTTTCAGAAGATACTGACCAAACGTGCATGGAGGGTTCTGGATGAATTCATAAACATAGTTTTTACACAGTAGAGGTATTAGAAATAAGTTTAAAGGATGGAACAGCAGACTGGGATTCCCTGAGCAATTACATATCCGCGTAGACTTGCAGATGAGTTTGAATGTGTCATTTAAAGTGAAAGAGAGAAGAGAGAGGGTTCAATTCACCTAACTGTAGACATCTACACAGCTGGTTGTCCTAAGTTCCTTTTTTGTTCAGCGGAATAAAACTGGCACTTCTCAGTCAGCATTGACCTGACATGTTCTGAATAAGACTTTAAAATGGGATGAACTACAGCCCAGAAGCACTTACTTCTCTCTTTCTCTATCAGAGGAGCCTCAATGTAAATGTCAGTACTGTAGGTGTGTAAAGTTGGTGGAGATAAGTCCCACCCAAGCAGTCCTTTTATCAGTACAGTTTCATGTAGCTGAAGAATCAGTCCAAGAGTGAAACTGCTGCTGCATGCTGTCCTGAGGACTAACCTTCTTGTAGACGATGAGATATGGCTGAGTCAGTTGTTCCGGCACAGGTACCACAGGAGGTACCCATTTTCCTGCCTTTTGTTCTTAGCAGGAGTTCACTCTTCCAGTTCCCATGGCTTCGCTAACATGCAAAGTACATCAGTGTTATCTGGGCCAAAGCTTCTCTGCTTCAGTCAAAGGAGTGTAAAATAGATATGATTTTTGGTTGGGTTTTTTTTTCCCTTGTTTTAACTCAGTGGGCATTTGTTCATGTAGCACTATGTGGGCTTTGTATTATTATTGCAAAATATTATCTCATTTGTAGACCTTTGTGAATGCACCAGTTTATCTGCCATTTTCCCATCAACTCATAGAAGTATGATGTTTTCAAGTCATGATAGCCAAACCGTATATTTTTTGAGACTCAAGATTAATGTAAGGATTTGTGTGTGTCTGTGATGGTTTTATCTTGTAATTTTAAGAAAATTCAAAAAGTATCTCATGCTTACTTTAGAAAAGATTCCAGCACAGTTTTTCTGTGAACGTGGAAGAAGGGTGCCTACCTCATTTTAGGCAAGCCCACAGTCACTTTTTGAAAAGGGTAATACAATTCACTTCACTGACATAAAAGAAGACTCAGCTATGGGAAGGATGTTCCTTCAGTCCAGTTGCTGTTTTTTTTTTTTTTAATAAGAAGTCTTGTAGTCTTCAGAACTTCTCAGATAATATTAAATGATCAAGTCAATGCATCTTTAAGGCAAATAAAATATCCTCCAGATGTATTAGTGGCTACAGACTTACGACTTTAAAATCAATTTTATTGTTCTGGAGGATGTGACTCAAGGTGTCTTTAATGCTTGGGGTGGCCATTACTGCTAGTGCTACAGCGAATGTACAATAATTATTTTTAGCTGCATGCCATCATTTCAGGATACATGTCAGCGAGACTTCTGCATGACATCTTTGTCAATCTTGCCACTTCATGCAGAGTGAAATTCATTCCCAAACAGGTGAAAACAACCCAACTTCATACAACTGAATTTGATTTGCCATCCTTTAAATACTGATCAATGATGGTTCTCTTCAGTGTTGAGGCATCTCAATTTTTTTTTTTAATTACCATTTTTTATTATTGCCTGGTAATCACCAGAATTTACAAACATTAATTACATGATTACAAAACATATGTAAGATCCTTTTTGCAGTGAAGTGATTGAAATGACCTATTGAAACATTCCTGTACTCAGTTCAAGAAGGACGGAGCCGCCTTACAGGGGTTTTCAGCTTTCAGATATTTGCCTTGCCAAAACTTTCTGTGACACTTTTTATGCCCTAATTATATAAATATCTATATATAAAAATCCTGATTTCATATATATAAAAATATATATTTGGTAACCTACTGTGCTTTTTTTTAAGCAAGTGGTATTTAATTTCTCTCTTTACATCCCAGGTTTTTTTTTCTTTTTTTTTTTACTTTTTAAAAGAAAATCTACATACAGAACAGCTTTGTAGGGGTGGTTGGTCATAGACGGTTCCTGAGAATACTTACTATTCCTTTTGCATCGAGTACCAGACACAGCCAAAGCCAATGCAGTAAAAAATGAGTACAACCTCTCAAATTAGTAACACTGACTTAATTTTTCTAATATTATTTTTATTATGACTAAGTTGATCAAGCTTTTCAATATTGCTATCATTATTTGACGTATCTTCTGGTTTCTGCTTCAGACATCTTTCTCAGACATTTTCAAGGTCAACTGTACCGGGGATTTCTGTTGTTTCTTTAAAAAATTTATTTCTGATGTATATTCATGTACCCAGGGGTTCGGTCTGACTGAATAAAAAAAAAGAGGAAAAGGCCTAAAAAGCATTGCTTAAGGGGAAAAATACCCTTTTATTAATCTCAGTCCTAGTCAGATCTCTTTGCTGACTCATATTCTACATGGTTATTAATTCTGGATCACTTCATGTTGGTTTCTCTTGTGCTGTCACCTGACCTTACGAGCTCCTAACGACCCAGATGTTTATGCTGGCTTTTCTGTTTGTATATATCAGAGCTTTCAATGACTTCTGATTTTGAGCCTTCCTCTAGATTATTTTTTTACACAGGAGACACTTACTTCTTATTGCCTCCTATATCTGAACTATTACTTTGTAGTACGAGAATTTCTTCACCTGCCGTATGTATTTCTCTTTCTTCTTTTTTCAAGGATTATCTTTCTGCTGGCATTTTGTAAACATTGTGTAGTGAAGCTGACTTATTTATCCAAAATCTAAGTCTTCTTAAACCTGCTGGGTCACATTTTTTCTGAAATTGGGAGTGGAGGTGAATGGAACTGTTGCTAGTAACTGCACAGAGGGTTTTACCGTTGGGGCTAATATGACTCAAAGTGTTAATTAAGACCTGAATCCTGAAAAGAGTATGATGCAAGAGGATTGTGCATCCTCTGGTGATGCCACGAGGAAGGTGCCAGTGAATGTCATTAGCAATGTTGTTGTTCAGAGACTAGTGTACCCCAGGGATGCCATGATTTTCTCTAGGCGTGCTACACAAATAACCTTCGGGCAAGGTTATAATAAGCAAATATTAGTGATGACTATTCGAATAATAATAAGTTGGCTTCCCTCAAGCTGCAAGAGCACCTTTAAATGAGAAATAACTCTTGCATTCCAGATTATTTGTGTTGTTATGCAACTTTATGCTAGAAAACTCTCTAGCTATGACTTAAAGGTAAAATTACTTGGCGATTCTGTGCATTACAGACAAAAGGCTTGAGTAACATGGAAAAGCTTTGTGATTTCATTTCTGGTTTATAGGAGAAAAGACTATATCAAAAATCTGAACAAAGACGACTTGTCCCACCATAAGGAAAAAAGTCTATTTTCATTTTTTCATGAATTTATGCCTGGAAGAAGCTTAAAAATGGTGGTTCAAATAGGTACCTAGCTGGGGAAGGAGAAAGGAGGAGGTCCCGATCTGAACTCAGAAGACTTTCCTAGGTAGTTATTACTAGAAAATGTTATCCATATGTCCTGGTTTTGGTTGGGATAGGGTTAATTTTTTTTCCTAGTCACTGGTATAGTGCCATGTTTCGGATTTAGTACAAGAATAACGTTGATAACACACTGATGTTTTTAGTTGCTGCTAGGCGGTGCTTATACTAAGTCAAGGACTTTTCAGCTTCCCACCCTCTGCCAGCAAGGAGGTACAGAAGAAGCTGGGAGGGAGTATAGCCATGACAGCTGGCCCAAGCTGGCCAAAGGGATATTCCATACTATCTAATGTCATGCTCAGTATGTAAACTTGGGAGTTGGTTGGGAGGCAGGGGAATCACTGCTTGGGCACAGGCTGGGCATCGGCCACTGGGTAGCAGGCAATTGCATTGTGCATCACTTGTTTCATATATTGTTTTTTTTTCTTTCCTCTTCCTTTGCTGTCCTGTTAAGCTGTCTTTATCTCAACCCACAAAGTTTTACTGATTTTTTTTTCAATTCTGCTCCCCTGTCCCGCCAGGAGCAGAAGGAGTGAGCAAGCAGCTGCGTGGTACTTAGTTGCCAGCTGGGGTTAAACCACAAGACACGACACCATGAAACAAGAAGTTAAGATGAAAAGAAAATGGAGAATTTTCTAGCAAAGTGTAGTGGATGAAGAGAGTGCTATAAGTAGCAAGGAGGAAGACAAGCAACA